CCCCCCCCCCCCCCCCCGCCCCTTGCGCGTCTCATCTAACCCCCACCGGGGGAGCAACGACCCTAACAGCTTGAGGCGGCGTGCAGCGACCTCGCGGAGCCGGTCCAGACGCTGGACAACTCGCTGGAGAGCTTCTGGACGATTTTGGAGGACGCCGGCGAGCTCTCGTCGTGCGAGAACCTCAACGGCCTCTACCAGGCGGCGGTCTACGACGAGCTGTGCAAGGGCCTCCCGCAGGGGCTGCTCGGTTTCTGGGTGTCCTGCGCGTTCCTGACCGTTCTGCTTCTGATCCTGGTATGGTGGCCGCTTGAGAGAGGCTTTGGTCGGGACGTGCCGAAGCAATTGTCTTCAACCCGTCCTTCGCTTTACTGACTGCTGGGTTCCGTGTGTACATGTATGTTGTGACAAGCGATTTTGAATCTTGTGTCCGTCATGTATTGTCGATTCTCTCGCATCGCAGCCGCTGTTGGCACTAGAGAGTGCGTCGTGGGTGGGATGAGCTCCATCCGCTCGCTATCCTGCTGCTACCGCTGCTGCGGACCCCGGCTTTTTGCTTTTGTTGTTTTCAGACGGACTGCGGTCGTTTTCGCGTCGTCTTGACAACGGATGAAGGCAATCATCCCCCCCCCTCTCACCGCCCCCCGCCGTTCGCCACTCAAGCGGGCATGCGCCCCTCTAGTTTCCTGGGCTTCATCGCCTTGTTAATGTTTTGTTTTGTTTTTCCCTTGTGGGTGAGCGAACGTATTCTCCTTCTCGTGTTTTTTTTTCATCTACATTGTATGCTAGTCTAGACGAAGGACGGTCTTTTCTGCGTCTGCCTGTTCCCAACCTCCCCTCGATGGTTTTGGTGTGTTGTTTCACACAGGCGATCCAGTGGGGCAGAATGCTCCGGCAACAGACCACGGAAGAAGACGCCTCCACGGCGGAAGCCATGAACAGGCAGAGGGCAGGCTGGCTGGTCGTGTCCAAGCGGTTCTCCAGGCGGAATTTCGTCGCGAACCCCCCGGCCCCGCCCCACGGCGCCTCCTCGCACGTGCAGCGGCCGGTGGCCCTCGAACGGCCTCAGCACGCGACACAGCGCTAAGTTGAGCTAGTGCCTTCCATTTTTCCGACAACGTTCTGGGAGGCAATGTGTAGGTACTCAGCACGATTCGGGTTGGGGGGGGGGGGG